GCGAGGGGCGGGGTACACCCTGGACAGGTCGCAAGTCCATCACAGGGCCACACATAGACAAACGAGACAAACAACATTCTCTCACTCACACCTAGGGACAATTTAGCGTTATCAATTAACCTACCTAACAGTCATGTTTTTGGTCTGTGGGAGGAAGCCGGAGTACCCAGAGAGAACCCACGCATGCAAAGAGAGAGCACGCAAACTACTCAGAAAGGTGAGCCACTGTGCCGCCTTCATCTAAACTATAAACAAGTAAAAAACATGTAAGAAACATGTAACATGAAGAAGATGAGATTATGAAATAAACATGATTTGTTGTGAAAACTGCRTATCACCTCTAAAACCCAAAGCTAAAGAACAGCTGGTCAGAGTCATTGTCCACAGTGAGTTTTTAACCAACATGGACTGAAAGAATGTTCAATGAGGAAGAAGCTTTTACTCTGAAAGTTCAAAAATAATTAGAAAACAAAACAACTGGACTTCTATTCTAGAGTTGAAGACAATGTCATTCCCCATCCAGGAATCTTTCTCAATTCAAAATGTCTGGTGTGTGTGGAGTTCCAAGCTTTAATGAGCATCATCATTGTGTTGTCTTTGTTGTTGTTATTGTTGTTGTTGTTATTGTTGTTGTTTTCTGCTCTCAGTGAAGGCATACGCATTTCCCCCTCTCTCTTCAGCCTTTCTTTTTCTATCCTGCTTTTGCTGCTTATTTTCGGAGCTTCTTTGTATAACACATGTATCCTAAATATTATCAAGATAGGACATATAATAAGGATAGCTAGATCAGAAATCTATATTCGAGTAGTGTTGTGTATGGGTACTTTGTTAAACACACACACACAACAGACACCTGTTCAGTACAAAAAACAAAGTGTATTGTGTTTATTTACAATATGTACATGTCACACAGTGGAAACTTGTTTTTTGATCATGTGATTATGTATATGTTGTTTTGGTCTCTTTTGTGCATGTTTTTATGGATTYTATTGCTTGCATGTTTTCTCTTGAGTATTTTGCATGTTTTAATCTACTGTGGACCCTCTGGAAATGGACWAATTGTTTGGTGACAGTCACCTGTGAAGTGTGGGCGTGCCCRAAGTCGCTCATTAGCTGTTTCCCGCACCTGCTGGAAAAGCAGAGGACAGAAAAGGCTGTGGAGGACTCCGATTGAGGAGAAGAAAAAAGAGAGAGCATRCAAGAGCCAGGTGGGAGAGAAGAGYMGATTGTTTTGCCAAGATGAAGGCAGCTCACACGGCGCGGTGTTGTGGTCCCAGTCCTGCAGCAGGAATGGCAATCATTGGAAAAACAAYGCAACAGCTTGATAGCGGGGCAGAGATGAACCTCTGCCCGCATCTGTGAGTATCGTTTTTTCCACTGACGTCTGCAGGATTTAGTCTCGTTGGGAGGGCAGCAGAGAAGCTTGGTTGGCTTGGCGGACAACCCTTCTGGCCAGGGTCCGTTTGTGTTTGCAGGACCGTGAGGGAGCCCGTTGGCAAGTGAGAGATGCATGTTGTGGACCACGGTGGGGCTGCGGTGTGGTGGAACCAAGAGAGAGACTCAAAATGAAAAATAAGTACTGTAGGTCCTCTGGATGGTTTCTTCTTTAGTAAAGAAGAACCCATCCAGAGGACCTACTTATTTTTTCTTTTTAATTTTTTTCTACCTGGATTACAGAGAGGCATCAGGACAATAGAGAGACTGCTGGAATGGACTGGTGGGTATCAAACTGCTTAAGAGATCTTTAACAGAGAAGCACAGAGGACCATCCCACCTTGGACTTTGAGGACATTTTATGAGCATTTTTTTTTTTACTGGGTTTTAGTTTTTTTAATGAAACCTTTTTTATGTACATATGAGGTTGAGAAAAGATTTTTTTTTCTAACTGCCCCTGTGGGGAAGAAAATTGTTTGAGCTTATTTTGTCGTGGTCTGTTCCTGTGGTTCTGATCCACTTGCTC